AAATATTTCTTAATTTGAGTTAATTTTAATCATTGAGGTGCCAACTATCTTCTTGAACATGAATGACACAATTTCATTCATACACATAATTACATTACCTAATTACAATTTCTCTAATCAATTCGTTGAGGCCGAATGCAGTACGCATTGGCAGGGATTCAAACGTTCCAGCACATAAACCGATTCACTATGGCCAGCTATCACATGGTCAGCAGACCAACATGAATGAATGACACAGCATAATGGTAGTCCGGCACATGCGCAATCAACAATACCTTGATACTTCATAGCAACTCGTGCGACATATAATTTTATCCACAAGAACCATTACAGTTACATCGTCATTTGTCATTGTTGGATAAATGGTCCTGTGATTATAGGACTAGGTACGTTACGTAACAGAAAAACTATACATACATCGATCATAAACACATTTAAAACCTCAAGGTTCCACGCAGATGTTCATATATTTGCATAGCAAAGCAAAATCTGGCCGGTCCTTCCGAAATCCAAATTGTAAAGGCGGCCGTTACAAAAACCAGTTCATTGACAGCGGGAACAGCTGATCGCCGTCTTTGTAATATGTCTGAGAAAATCGAAGAGCGAATGAATGGATCCGCATCCTTGCTACAGCAACGTTTAGTGGAGGTCGTGGTATTGTTCGATGTGTCGGGTAGTGCACACATTGAAAACAGTTGCGCGGGCCCCGCGGGGAGGGGTGCCACACAATGGGTGCGGGCGCGCATGACGAGACACCTGGTTTGCTGTACCGGCTACGCCATATGCCACGCTCCCTGCGATATGCGCGCGCACTATGACTGCCCGGACTGCGCCCGACAGCTCCACACGCGCACTGCCAGCCCCGCGAGCTGCGTCATCAACCATAATCCCCAGCCCGCTCATGATTTGTTGGATTTCCTTCCCATGTTTACGGCTATCTACGTTATGTATTTACAGTTTACATGAAACATTCAAACGTATGTAGCTGTAATAAAAATGCTGTATGTTCCAATAAGTTGATTTAGTTAAATGTTGATAGGGTGTTTTTTTTCGATGCGTCGAGCAGTTGTAAAACTGCCTAATTTTACGATATCGATACAAATCAAAAGCCTTTCGGTGTATATTTATACGAAATAAAATATAAAACACTTTTTGCTTTTAAAACAGGAACTTTATTCCTAATCTTGTTATGCCAGTGAGAATTCGCACGCGACTTGCGAATCTTCCCCAGAATCAATTTCTGACTGGATGTAAATCCCTCAGATCTTTTGAACATTATTGATCATCATTTCAACTATCATTTGGGACGTAATGCATTCAGTTATTTGAATCAAACAGTTTAGTTTTAGCGTGGCGCGCCGCTGGGAGTAGTGCGGGGAAACGCATTAAATCTGCCGCCGCAGAGCCTGTTTAGTCTACATTCTGTGTCTTGTAAAATTGGTTTATACACAACGCAACGCCCGAGGCACACGGCATTTGTTTACGAAGCCCTTCAACCGTGTACCTCCGCACTGATACGTTGAAATAATACCCACAGAGTCTATTACTGTAGTCCACACACGTTGCTAATTCTGATCCCCTTAATCTAGATTCGGTTCATATGCTTTCAAAAGAAAATGACCGTTAGCTAGGCCGGTTTAGGGAGACCGTTGTGTCGTCAAATAATGCGAGTGCAACGCTTCGGCCGTTACTACACCGAGGGGCTGCGATTTACATAAAATGATATGCAAGCGCGCATTTAGTTAGCAGTCAATTTAAAAAACGACACTCTTATTGAGTATTCGCAGATTCTAAAGAAAATATAATTTAAATAACAGTGGTCCTAAAATACATGGCGACATAATGCTACTAAGCGCGGATTGTTGTACAAATAACTTTGTTGTTTTGTTATTCACGAGCGAAATAAGAATGTAATCCAAGCTTTAAGTAAAAGTAGATTTTATCTTAAGCAGGCAAAGTCTGGTTCGCATTAGTTCAGAATAATATTTTTTTATGGAAATCCATTCACGGGGTTTGATGGAGGCGTAACGGCTTGTCTGTCTTCGGCGCCCGCGCATTGCGGCCCGCGCCAAAATAAATAAGCAGAACGCGCTGTACAAGTTAAAGGAGATACTATTTAGTTAAAACTATACGAAGATTTTGTGTTCAATATATTCATTTCAGTTTGATAATAAAACAAATTTCGATAAAGTTGTATCCAGTTGTGCTACATTGTGGAGCAACTAGTGACGTCGCCTGCTTTGTTTGTCTAGGTGGTTTTTTGCACAATACCCACAGTATAAATGGAAACTAAACGTCGCTTTTACATTGTACTGTAGCCGTATGTATGTTGTTTACATACATAATGTATGTTAGGTACGTACACGTTAACTGCTGCGGCAAGAAATTTGTGTAGCCCAGTTTCTAAATACGCCGTGGTGGTTGCAGCCAATGGGCGATTTCAGCGGGCCTGGCGTCGATTATGAAAACATTGTTAAAGTTTTATTACATGGGCGTGTTGATGAAGGCCGAGCGGGCCACTTGTCCAAACATATGAGGCGACACTATGAATTATTGAGTGGAGCGAGCACCGCACTAATCGATTCACACCTGTCTATGAAAGGTTCCAATCGGAAACATTCGACCAGCGGCCGGACTTTCAATAATTGCTTAGACCTGAAATGTATCTGGCTTAAATTGTAGATACTGTTAGATATCAAATCATACACTATAAACTATTGAACCTATTGATGACTGTAGTACAAGTACTGTTCGAAGACAAGTGTACCAATCTCATATTATCAAATGAACAATACATTATTCACAGCATCGGGTGCTGAATGAATGGGCTGAAAGGTAACATGGGCCATTCATAATTAAGTTTTAATAACATACATTGAGTCTTGAAGACAATCTAGTGTAATTGTGGTAACATACGATTGGTGGTGAGCATGTATGTAAGTCATTGATTAATGTATGGCTTGGCCCTTTGCGGTGTTAGAAGGGGTAGTGTTTGGCATTGCAGGCGATCGCGTGCGCCGGCCGCCCTTCGCTTGTGCATTACTTATGCATGTGCCCAAGCCCCCCGCAGCCAACAGGGTAACACACCCTGCCGACTATTTTTATTTTGTCTTTGGGATTTAGGCGATGGATGCATCGATGGGTTCGCACGCGCCCCGCGTCGTTCTTACAATCGATAGTAAACCGAGCTTCGTATAATTAAACGATTTTTATGCGCCGTCTCTATGTTAATTTTAGACGCAATTGTGATGAGGCTGTTTAGTTTTCACCGAGTTAACTGCTGGTACAAGTTGATAAGCGGTTTACAATAATGTTTATTTTATTTCTCCATGCACATCTAAATAAAGTAAGTACATTTGTGTATACTAAATTATTTTCTACCAGTCTACTTTAGGCAGTTTTTTGATGATTTTAGGGTAACAAATAGAAAAATATCTGAAGGGGACGTATGTTAAAGCTGGTGTACAACAACAAACCACAAGTCTTAGAAAATGTAGGACAAGAAAATCTTTGAAAATTTGATGCCATTTATAAACACAGGTCCTAATATATGTATGAAATGCAACCGTAACGCTGGTGTTGCGTGTTACAGGCTATCGATATAAGATATCGAGTTCGTCCTTACCGTAGCAGTTACTGTAGCTGCTACACTAGCTACGTGGCGAGTGACATAGTGATAAAACATATAGAAGTATACATTTTGTCTATTATAGTTTTACAGTCATATCTTTGAAATGCGACCACAAATCGATAGCAAGCCTAGCAAAGCCACATAAGCATTGGTTGTAATTGTTTGTACTGAAGCCGTAATGGTCGAATGTCGCGTGGACTCCGATACGATCTCTTCCACACCAATAGCTTCTATCATTGTTTTATTGCAACGGAAACTGGTCATTATCGTGCCATTATAGTGCCTTTGTCGCTTTGATGTGATTTCGTGTGTAAACTGAGAGATGCATTACGTGTTGAGATTGGAGGATGAAAGAAATGAGGTTTTATTTCGTTTTTTTTTTCTTTGGTTAAAGTTAGGTAGTTCTATAGTTTTATTTCTTAAATTTTCCACGGTGCTGTTCCAAAGTGTTCTCTTACTTTCGGGGGTTGTAGTGTAAGATAATTGAACCAGAACACTGCTTCTTTTATAATTAAGAAGCTCTGTCAAAGCCACAGTCACAGTCTTCAACGAACTTAATTTCATATTCTTAACGTTAAAACAATTGTTCAAACAAAACGTTCTTTCGTTTAAGTTACAATTTTAACCCTTTACGTGAAATGAACTTTATTTCAAACCCAGTAGGTTTACTCTTGTATACAACCAAGTTTCACTAACGTAACAACCCTAGTCTTATTTCTCAGAATCAAATTAGTTACCAACATAATTCTATTGGGGCCTAATTCCAGTAATTCAGTAAACCATATAAAAATCAGGTCAATGCTTTTGGAACCTCGATACTTGTTTATTTTCGTTTAAATATTTTGACTATTTTATTCTAGACTTCATAATAAATATGTTGGGGAAATTGTCGCGGAAAGAATTGGTGAGAAGCGAAAATAACTCTTATTGCGTCTACGTACAGGCTGTCAGCTTAAAATTGATGGTTGCGGTGCTGCAACTCACTGAAGCATTAAGAACCCAGTATCCAGATATTCGGGATGTCTAAGAAGTGAACCAGATTTAGTGCGCGCACAGATAAATTAATTTGCGACGTCGCCTCAGTAATAACCTCGAAGTTGTTGAACGCGATCCAACTAAATAACAGCGTCTTCCGTATTATGCGGATGTATGGCATGTGTCCCAAAAATCTTCACTAATTACCACGTTCACATAAAAAAATCGCAACTTTTATACACAATCTATTGACATTAATCTCTATACAGCATCTATGACAGACGTGCTTAAAAATTTATTTAAAATACGGGATATTTCTATTGTGATACGTTTTATTTGTGCGCTTGGGAAAACCGTTCGGTGCTATGAGCGTAGGTAGCTGGCATGAAACAGCTTACACTTCTAGCATCGAGCAGTGACCCCGGTACACACAGGAACACTCCACTGTAGTGGTTCCGTTCCCTTTGTCACCATCTGAAACTCGATCCCCGTCCGCGACTTCCGCACGAAGCCCTTCGATCCTCCGATAATCCTCCTGCCTACTAGATTACACAGTTACATTTTAAACCATTTACAATTCAATTAAAATTGTTTTCATTCAAGCGCTAGGTACTGTTAATTTTTCATCGTGATCTGATGATCCTCAAAAGATGGAGCTTTCTTCGTGTCTTAATTATTATTTATGTACAACAGCTGGCGTGCAGAGGTTGGTCGGGCGAGGCTGAGTCCGTCCGGCGAACGACGCGGTTATTTATAAAACAGAGTTGCGTCTCGTTTTGTCTTCGGCGCGCTCTTTATTTTGTCTAAATATACGCAGTTTTGGGAACGTCGTCGCGGCCGACTCTGCCGCGACACCAGTTTTGGCATCACGCCAGAACCTCATCTTTCTTCGCCAGCTTATCTTTTGTCGGGACCTACAAAGCATGACGCCCAACCTCAAATCCGTAGGATAGCAAGTTTTATATACTTTACCAAGAGACTGCGTTTTGACCCAATCGAATAAAATTATATTGGTGAACATAACTTAAAAACAATCACACACATTAATGACGCATAACTTAATTAAACATGGCTGCTACGCGGGTCATCGAAAGACACGTCGGTCATAAAAATTACCGTTGGCACATACGCGCACGTGTTTTGTCCAAAAATAAGTGTCCCAGGAACTGAAGTCGGTACGGGAGGGGAGTAATTAATCGCTCCCGGCAGCCGCCCGAGGAGTAAGTATCGGATTGATGGCTCATAGTGCCGGAGACGACACCGGTCAGATCAAAGTTTTGAGACCGAGACGGCCATGAGTCCAACACGGCCAGTTTGGTCATACGAAACTGGGCCACGACACATCTAGTTCTATTCTTGTATCGATAAACTAACACGACATATTTATTCTACAATGTATTCGTAAAACTCTGTTCATAATAATAAAAGGTTAAACTTAAATACTTGGAAACGTTGGCTACACGAGTAAACGAACACATTTCGTATAAATCCGGAACTCATAAACGAAATAATTACACACGGAGGAGTCAGAGATGCTTCAATTGTTTGAAATTAGACATGTTTATGTGCCTTTGTATTACATAGAAGACATATCGTGGAAATGTAGAACATTGAAAAGTTAATGGCATTGAAATCGTACATACTGGCGTACAGAGTCATGCACTAACATATAATAATACTCTTTCTATCCCGCTCAGGCGGCTTGCGTCTAAAATCGTATTTCCGTAGAATCCTTACAAGCGACGTTAAGCACTTACTGTCGGCTTTGCAGTTCGACGACCTCAGCTCCAGAAGACGTCCTGAAAACAACAAAAAAATCTTGTAAAGGAATTCAGACAAAGCTTTATAGGTATCGCCTACACAAAATGTCCGTAATATTTTTCATGAGGATCCGTAACTAATTATAATTTCGAGACTTTGATGACTGACTCATTTTAGCTTCGAAGCGTTGCACTGCGTCATATTCGGTCTACATTGTTGTGAATAAATTTAACTGTTTGCCCTTTTGTGTTGTATTTGACAATCGATTACGACTAAAATCTATCTGGGTCACATATAAGCAACAAAAGACCATCGCGCTACAATCAGGCCAACTGACAATGGACATAAAGGGAAAGAGAAAAAATTTAATGAATCAAGATAAGCTTTGTGGTGGACAGTGGTTCGACCTCGGCCGTCAAATGGCATCGCATCGATCGAACAAATGCGGTGGCACATCACGCGCATTGTACGGCACGCGAACACGCTGCACCCTGGGCTTCGAAGCCGACCACTGGCTTCATAAACCATTACATGTATTGTTCAAAGGTTTTGTTAGTCACCACGCTTGCACTACATGGATTGGTCTTTAGTTACCGTGATGATAAATTAGTTGTCTATTATAATTTTATTTACTGTATCTAGATCAATACTACATGCCATACAACATACGTGCACTACAGTTACATTTATATTTTTTTCCTGGCAAGCAGTCTCGGTCAGTTCTCATCAACGCTAATGAGCCGTCCGTCTATTGTAAACGGGTTTCATAATAACTATTAGTTGACAAAACTTTGACAAAACTATCAGAATTGAAAGTAGCAAGGTCACCACAACTACTTCCATAGCAAACGAACCGCAACACCATCCGGAGTCTGCGGATGTGATCCACTGTAATCACAGGTGAAATTTCGCCACACAATAGCAAACTTATTTACAGGCCGGCAGAGGTTACGCTCTTCTGAATATTAACCATTAATCAGAGATTATGAATCAGCTACAATTACATTTGATTGTCCATTTCCGAAATATGACATGATTATCGTTTAGATTTTGAAATCGCTCGCTCCCTGATGGGACACGTGCAGCTCTAGGTACATCGACACCCGGGAAGTGTCGTCAACTTGGCTGCCGCCAATTATTTAGGTAGATGTCTTTGCAAACGTTTTGGTATCGAACATCGTCTCGTGCCAAAGTTCGAAAGCCATTTATAGCGAGTATTTGTCGTCTTCTTGTCAAGAGGTATGTCCATGGACGCCGGTGCCCGGGCGGGCGGCGAGCGACTAAAATAGACGCCGCCTCGCGCGACTTAACAATGCAATAAAAAGAAATTAACAGTGACGTTCCCTGCGCTAAGTTGACTCTCGTGTCATTTGGATGTGGTCCAATCTCTTCGGAATATATTTTAGTTTGACTTCTCTCTAGCCACTTCCGCTAAGTGAGACCGAAAATAACGTCTTTACGAATGTTGATGATGAAAGAGTAATGATGTAGCATTAAAGGTGCTTATGTTTTATGACATGTCGTCTCTAGCTTCCTTTTTATTTAGATTTCTATTACTGTTCGTCACATGACATCCAAGTAATAAAGCTATGTTCTTTCCAGGTTTCGGGTTAGCTGCAGCAGCTGCAGCGGGAGTACGCGCCGGGTACCAAACAGTTCTGCCATCTCCATACGGGTAAGTACCCCTTCTGGTTAGCGCTGCAATATATCTGTATCATGTATCAATGTTCAGTGGTTCAACACTTCGACATTTGCCAGCACTAGCGGCGCCGCATGCCGCTCTGAATACATCTCACGAGACAAAAATCAGACGTAGAATGTTTACTCTTACTTAGACACGAACAAGCTCAATATGTTGAGATAATTCAAGATATATGCCTTCAACCAGCTCTATAAGTAGAATAAGGATCATGTACGTGTGTTTGTAATGTCTAGGAATAACTTTATCGTTTGATGCTATGAAACTAGTGAAGCACATACCTCTTTGCTCAACTTCCCCATTACAAAAACACGTTCCTGTCTAGTGTACTTAGGGCTTATTTCACCAAAACGAGAGTATGTTAACGAACAAGATTCCGCGGATAGAACTCCTCCCACAACCGAAGTAGGCTTGCAGCTAAGGTCCAGGTCACATCGCCTAGCGGTATGAGTACAGTATTCTGACTTTTGTCTCGGTAGATGAGGCGAGCGGCGTCTCCGGACGGCTAGCGGCGCGGCGGCCGGCGGACCACACCTAGACTAAATTATCAAACATTTTCACATAGGTATCTATGGCAAGCGTGAGCGTGAGAGTGGATTTTTTTTCGTTTTGGGTGTGAATTAGTCGATTGGGTTTTTTTAATGTTTACGTTTTATAAAGCTATACGGAGCATGGGCGGCGCCGGCGGCGACGTGGTCGCGCGCGGGCGCCGCCCACCGCCATCACACTTTAAGCATCGTTCTCGACACTCAATGTTTTCTTACTTTTATGTTTTATGCCGTGTTCGTGTAAGATTTTGTTGATTTGAATTGAGTTTTGTTGGTGGTGGATTTCGTTTAATACACTTACTAAGTAATCGTGGTAGAGCGGCGGCGGGCGTCGAGGGCGCGCTGTGTGTGCGTAGGTGTGAGCGCGCTCTCGACGGCGCCGCCGGCCGCCCGGGCCCGCCGCCGCAGCAGCGGAGCCGCCGTGCTGTCTAACCTGCCTCGGTCCCATACATGCCTCACAGTCCAGCTAATTACATATTGACGTGAGCTCGATCGATGCTCACCCAGGGCCACCACGCCAACACAACTGTCCATATATTATTCAGTGACACTCTTGTTTTAATGGAATATAATCAAGTGAAAGCTTCAATCGAATTAACGCTTTTTGGTTTCCAATCATTGATGGTTTTACTGCGACATTTGGAAGATCGAACCTCGTAATTGGATATGCTTTTCGCTACTCAATATGACAAAATTATCTAAAATGCTAGGTCACCTATGTATAGTCTATAATGTAGAAACAAATGGATTTTATATTACAGCTAAGGTATTGGCCTGAAATAAAATTATACGTTATTTAAGCCTGTCTATGTATCGATGTAGGCAATTAGTGTAATTTGTTTAATGTTGTAGGAAAATTATTTTAGAAATAGACTTTTACAGATACAAAAATACCTTTACATTTACAATTAAGTACATACCTGTTGAGCTTAGTTTAATTTACTCTTGCGATTACTTATTGCATGTAATTATCGTACTTATACTTTCTCTGAGAACCGTTGAAAGTGAAGTTTAACTGAAACTCCTCTATATATCCTTGATTAGCTATCAGACTTAGTATGTGGTTGTGTTTTGTATTTTAGTAGATGTGTCAGCTCGGCTTGTGTGAGTATATATATGCCAGTTTTAATAATGCTGTTTGTTTTCACCTACTACTATTATTTCTATCTCTTCGAAGTACTTAGTAAACATTATATGAAATTGTTCTCGCGAAGAAGAAACGTGACTTAATACGATTGCCAGTAGCGATTGTAGGAGACCCTTTAGAATTTTATAAGTTCATGATCTGTCTTAGGCATTTATTCGTCTATTAACCTCAAGTAGGTATTTATCGGCACCGGCTCAGCACTAGACCACAGGTGGGCGTGATAAGGCGGGCGGGGCGTGGATGCGGGCGTGCACCACGCATGCGTATTACTTCAAATCCCTGTACCACACCAATTCAGTTGAAACAGAACAAACAACAATCACCCTGTCTCTATCACATCTCATAGTGGTAGAAAAAGATGGATAATTGCATCGGGAAGTGGTCTGATGCTTAATAGTGAAGATGAAGAGCACTCGAAAACCGCTGACTTCGCTCGGAGCCAGTTCAAGATCCTCTTGAACAAACTTGGCTGCCTTCACAAGCAAATTAAGCAGAATTAGCAGTTTTTTATTAATGTCATATTGTGTCAGTTCATTATAATGCCTAATGATACAAGGACTCTTGTAGACAATCAGATTTGGCTCGTATTTTCTTAATATAGATAGGTACTAGTATTTACTATGAATTTACGAACTGGCGAGATATTATTAGTATTATTTAAAAAGTCACATGATTTGTGCACGCAACATAGTACTTTGGTACGTCATGATACCAAATTTTTTACTTTTCAGTGCAGCACATTACATTTATTTTTATACGGTTACTGACTCGAAACATAAACTATGTTTCTTTTCGAGATTCTTTCCAATGGGCTGCTATTATAAATCTCAATTTCCCGAATGTTCACGACGATGTCACGATAACTAGACAAGATACCGAGTGCTCTGGATATTTCTGTCGAGGCGGAGTGCCGTCTTTTGTATATTTTTATTACATTTTCTGAAAGTTTCGTGGCAATGACGCACGGCGGTCCGCAGCGGCGACACGGTCGCATCGCATACTTACATAATATAACAATCTATCGATGTCTACTAACATAACATGATTAGATGCTCGCGCCTCTCGAGCCTGCTGGGGCTAGGTAGTGTGACCGTTTGACAAATAATTGGATGTCTCCTCACGAGGACCCCAGGAGCCGAATGAGGGGACATCGCAGGTGAAAGAGGGCGTCAAATGTGCAGTTGATGAAGATTTGACGTCTTTGGTGACATGGAGACGTTGGGTATAAGTTTGTTGTAAATTGGCAGGTTGTCGCCGGGATACATGTACAGCACGCCGCAGTACATGAACGCGATGAGCGGGGTGGGGGCCGGCGTGGGCACGGGCGCGGGCGGCCTGGTGCAGCTGCCCCAGCTGCAGCACGCGGCCGCGGTGGCTGCCGCCAACCACCTCTACGAGTACCAGGCCGCCGCAGCGCAGGGCGCGGCCGCCTACCAGCAGCAGTACGCTGCGGCCGGGTTCGACCCCTACGCTACAGCCGCTGGTCAGTACTCGCTTTAATGCACATACTCTGTAACAAGTCATTACATTTTTTATGATTACTCGACGCACAATATTTGTAATTAAACTCTGCTATAATATCAACGTACACACCTATACGCTATACTGACAGGCTATCGAGTAATTTTACTTACGATTCAGGCAACGTGGTAATGCTATCATTAAAGCTTGATAAGTCCAATGTTTAAAGTACGAATATCATTAATTTCAGCAGCAGCAGCGGCAGCGGCTAGCGGCGCTGGCTACGTGTCCCCCTACTACACGCTGCCAGGCGGAGGCATGCAGGCCCCCCTCCTGCCACCACTGCCCTACCCCCCACAGCTACAAGAAGCCAGGATGCAGTAGGATCGATCATACAGCTCGGTTACATTACTGATGACACGCTAAATGTTAGTATACAGATCTGAGTTTGAAAGAAACAATGTCTACAAGAGTATCACCAGTAATGAATTCGAGGACATACTCTAGGTCTGAATGTGGAATGAATGGACGTTACGACAGCTGATAGCCATCGGCGTCTCGACGGACGGTAGCTAAAGACAACAGCCAACCATGTCATTAGACAATTGTATTACACTTGATGGAAGAAAGGCCAAATATAGATAGACTAAACGTCTAGAATCTAGTTGAATCCATAAACCAAAAAATGTTAAAGAATGACCAAAGGCTAAGAGCTTTTTATTTAGAATTAAGACCTCGGTACTTACCAGTTGGTGTGAAACTATGTAGTAATAATTACGTACTTAAATAGTATGTAGATATTATAACACACCAATACAATTATACCTAAGATACAAAACATAGCTATGTTGAAATATTCTTGCCTCATTCATACAACTTCCTAACATCACATATTTTTATACGTACCTACATATAGACGATAGATATATTTTCATAGTAGATACTCTTCATATTCTCAAATATCTATTTAAATAATTCATAGAATGAAAGTAACATTTAAAAGCGCATATAGCTGTTAAATGACAATAAATAGATAGAATTAAAACAAGAAAATAATCCTTTACCTTCTGATGAATAAAGTCTAAAATTCCGATTCGCTTGTCGCTAGCAGTTATTTATGGCAACTGAAGACGCTGCGCATGAGTGGATCTATAAGTTGGTACAAAATATTAATCATCGAATCGTTATAACTACATATATTTGGCATCTATTTTATCGATAAACATTTGTGCAAACACATTTACTGTCTGACAAGCAGCTTATAAACGAATGCCGTTTCAAATTCTTCTAATTTTATCTTCACACATTATGTGTACTTCCTGTCCACAATTTCCACTATACTTAGCTATTTACTTAAATAAAATGTAATAAATATATAAATTAATCCAGCTATCGATCTATTGGACGATTTAGAACGAAACCAATGTCTCAAGCACGTCCTTTTTAATTAAATTTTCAGCTAACTTGGCCTAAAGCTTTCTTTTTAAGAGTAGGCATGAAAAGTAAGGATCGGAAAAGAGAATTCAGCTTTTATAATACACAAACGACCGAATACTGAAATGCTACTCGATTTTAATTTGTACTTAAATATCTGTATTGTTTATATGTCGACAGTGAAAGAAAATTTTTGTCTTAAAATTGAGTGGCGTTTGAGTATTTGAATCTAAGATTATACAAGACATGGAGACTTTAATGGTCCGCTTCATTGAAAATGAAGCCAATATTAGTCGATGTGTTGGTTATAAGACGCCATAGACAATTACTTAGGTTTCCTAGTTCTGTATTAACGTGTCCATGTTGCTCAATAGTCCTAAAATGGACTTGAATTAGCTTAAGAGTGAGGGAGAGCAATAAAGGGTTAAGTAATTAATATAATTTTAAGTATTCTACATATTATTGTCTCAGTGAAGAAACGTCAATATTTTTTGTACACGACCTATACGCCCTTGTAATATTAAACTATTAATTACTTTTAATTTTGTTCTCCAAAGCGGTTTAGGGTACTTACATCTTACTATTTCGTAAGGACTATAAGTGTAGGCATATAATATAATTATTTTTAGGAATAGTTAGACTAATTCAATTACTAGTCCATGTATTTTTAATGTATTGAATTTTAGGCAGTCGCCGGCCGCCCTATCAAACCTTCTTTTAGGTTAATCTGTTTAACAGCCTTGTTCAATACATATACTTGAAATCAGAGGTTGTTTGCAGAGTTTTCGTCAAAAAGGTGAAACAATACATGCAACTAACTGTTTATTTCATTTGGCAGCAATAAAAGTATGTGGAAGGGAATGAAATTGAAGTAAAGTGCAGGCGAGGACATGGACGGCGACATAGTACAAGTTAGGGGCGTTAGCTCGTGTAGGTAGGTATCATTTATACATAGAGTGTAAGCTTAATGGTAATTGTAATATTCTGTTATTCGTAATTTATTTTGTTGATATTTGTAAATCTACATGTTGATAACTATTTATTATGTGGAAGATAAATAAAAATTGTTGAATATTTAACGACCGAATCGAATCTCTTAACTCCCGGAGCTTTCACAGTTGAAAACACAAGATTCGGTCCGATATATAGAATTATATACATTCATTATACCTTTAAATGTAAGTAGAATAATATTTTAAGTAGATGCGTACTAAAGGAACAGTTAGCCATATTCGTGGCCATCTTGCCTTATATAGATGAAATATTGTACTTAGTTATACATATATTACACTAAATTCTATACACATATCATCAATTGTATAAATTAAATATCAGAGCGGCATCACGCACTGAATTGTCCATAATAGTGCATTTCATTCACAGTAATTTTAAGCACAATAACTATTATATTTTATGTATTTCATAAATATAAAATGAACGTGAATTCATAATAAATACTTAATAACTGTTATAATTACTTTAAATTATAATATCGTACTTAATTTAGGTTAATATAAAATGGAAAATAAATTTTTAAGGTACATTGAATGTTTTTTAATCGTCTATGATGGCGGCGGATACTTCTATGTGGGACATTAAAATCTATTTTCAGGAAAGAAAAATATATTTGAACTGAAAAAAATGTGTCGCGCCGCTTTGGCGTCGTTCCAGAGCGGGCTGTCCGTTTGACAAAGTTGATGCACTAAAATAACTTAAAAATCTTAGTGGATAGAAATACCAGAGAGCATTTCCCCGCATAAGTGGGTCTCATTGTTGACAGATAGTTCACTTCAATATAAATAAATTAAATAGTTTGGGTTTAAAGTTTTATTATTTGCGAATAAATGAGTTTGTAAATATTATTATGTGTCTCTGAGTTATGTTACCTACTTCTGAGTTAAAGTTCGAATTTCAAATGGTCAACTAATTAAATATTTTGAACACTAATTACAAAACAAGGTTTTACTTTAGTCTAGGACTAAACCGAGCTAAAATGAGCTAGTTTTCGTATTTCGAATTGAAGGTAGATGACAATAAGATTCAAAATTCAAAACCCGACTCAATGGTTCTAACCTGGACTACAGATAAACCTTGTTTTGTAATAAGGGGGTAATAGTTATCTATTGCACGTAGATTGCACTTTACCTATTTCTAATGTTGGGAAAGCTTAATGATGAGATAAGGTAGTCATCAAAAAAATACTAAATTAAGTGAACTTATTTAGGCTTGATTTAATTGATTCCCCAAGCAATTTTTTCCTTTTTCCTACACCAAAGATTAAAACTAATTTATTCCAAAAGTGTTTAGCACCATTAGTGTTTTGTATGAGTATAACGGTAAGTATTCCTTAACTCTGCAGCTTGAGAATAATATACTATCTTTATGAAATCGTAAGTAAGTATATTAACAGGCAATAATAAAAAAAGTTAATTGATTAATCGTGTTAGGGTCAAGTAACGATAAAGAATATCGAGTAAGAGACGTTAACAAAGAATTAACACCGTCATTATCCGATTATCATAAATACTCACTATAATGTCATGTAGAGTTAAGTTTGTAACCGCAATAAATTAGCCCTAATTTTACTTAGCTATTTACTTAAATAAAACTTTTACGGCAAAATATTGCAGCCGTAGCTCGTAGCGCGTACTCCATAGTTCGTACCGTGTAGTTCGTAGCGCGTAGTTCGTATTTCGTAGCAGCGATTTTCCGCTATTAATCTCGTAGGTGTGCAAACCGTGGACTTAGCTGAAAGAGTTTACAAAAATAATATTTTCGACATAATCTATGACTTATTGCTATTTATTAGACGGGATAATATAAAAATCTATTCTACGTTTTTTACATTTCGGAAAATGTCGGTTATGCAATACATTGAGAAAGATGAAGGAACCTAAAGTGAGTTAATCCTTTCCGTGCAAGTGACTCACTAGTGAAGTCCACTAGCAGATTAATAGGTAGCGGACAATATTAAATGCTATTTCACGCTACGATTAAAGTATTATTTTAGTATTATTGCTCTTTGAGTGCCTGTCCTTTTTTGTAGGAACCTACATAAATCAATTTATCAGTCAAACATTTTGTAGTCACATAACTTTAAAACTCGAGCGCTCTGTGTTTCAATCAAAAATATCACTATAACATACTATATTATAACATATTATAACATACTATAAAATAAATATTTGATACAGGTTTTCAAGTCTGCCTCGAGACTAATATTGAAAAAAAGAGGGAATTCACCTTTTTTTAAGTATAGAGTTTGGAAGACTGACGAAGGTTTTTTGGGCGAAATAATACACCAACATGCAGTGTTGTATCGTGCCCTTGAAGAATTACATAGTTTAATGGTATTTTTTTTGTGAGGGGAAAATCATCAAATGACTTCTCCCGCCCAGGGCCCAGCGGGAGTATTACTTACTGACTAAAACCCCCCCTGTTCCTTCTTCTGCTCTGGACCGAAGTCATAAACATCAGCTCTATAGAGCCCTGTCTGTGGTGGTGTGAACGCTACGCGCCGAACGCTCGGGTCTGGTTCTGGTCGGGCGGCGAGTTGCTCTTACTCGCCGACCGCAGACCCGCGCTTACGGTGGCCGAAGATCGTCCCTCGATCCCCAACGTCCGTAGTGTCGGCTAGGGCTAAGGAGGAGGATTGCTCCGTCACGTGGGCCTCCTCCCTGTTTGCGAGCATAACTGCTTCACAGAAGGAGGAGACGGCGTCCCAGTTCCTCTTGCTCCGCACCATGGCCTCGACTAAGGCCGGGTGCGAGAAGTCGCCGCCGCTGATCACTTCCCTGAGGACAGCCCAGGCAGGGCATACCACCACTGTATGCTCCACCATATCCTCTAGGTGGTCCTCACGATGACGACACTCGAGCGTTTCCTGGATCACACTGGATCCACACTGGATCCGAAACAGGAACCTACCTGAAGCTATAGTTAGATGGTCTAAGGATTTACCAGAACAACCGGTTTCACAAATTTGAGCACGTGAAACGATATGGATACGAGTACATTTCTAAACAAAATTAAAACCGATATTTTTTTATTATGACATTTTGTGATTCGTCACGCATGCTATTTCGGTCTTTAAACATAATTATTTACTTGATCTTAACTAAAAAAGGGAAAAGCACAAAGGTGAAAAACCTTAAAGACATTCTTAGCACAAACTTTCCATTGTATTTACCGACAATAAGAGAATAATCAAAGATATATTTGAGTGTGCGAATAATAGTCAAATATGAAACGGTGCACATGTTGTAGTATACTGTTCAAGTTGTTTATTTTGTCAGTATTTAGCTGATTATTCTTCAGTAAATCTCAAAAGCCTTTATGTTCACGCAAATATAAAAAAAACTCTGACAGTTGACATTGTTGACAAATGACAGTGACAGGAACCGATGAACGATATGCATTGCATTTTGCTTGTTAGAGTTCGTTGATTATTTATTGTTGTTATTTTACAATAGTTTTCTTTTTAGAGAAAATAATTAATCCATTTAACTATGGCGGGTCAAGGGCATCAGTTCCCTAGTAATTTCCAAGCTAATGCTGCTGGAATGCGTTCTGGATTCGGTGCAGGACCAATGAGCGGACAAATGCAGGCTATGCCGAATCAGTTAGCAGGTATTGAACATTAAAACCTTATAATAGAAAACTTACGAGTATTCTGTATAATCTAAGAACAATAGGAGGTATAAAACCCTTGTCTAATATTCCAAATATAGCCAAAGTACAAAGAAGTAGAAAATTTTAATGCCATTTTAGTCTTTGATGTTTGTTTGCCTCTCTGCTGATCTGTTTGCATTTCATACTCGCAACTACTAAATATATAGCTTTGTATTCATTTATTGTAGCAGCATAATGTAGGTACCTATCCAATTTCTCATCCATCAAAGGAATCGAGTCAACTGTCCAGTATTTAAATCCTTTAGTATTTATTGTTGGTTATAATCATTTCCAGGGGTAATGGGAGGGCCTATGGCTAACTCTGGTGGTATGGTGGGCATGGGGAATCAAATGGTGCCTTCTTATGGAGCTACAATGCAGAACCAAATGGGGAACATGGGGATGGGACCACAGGTATGTAAATTATGTACCTAGTTGTAAATCTGTCACCATAAAACCTTCATGTTATGTAAAGCTAATGTTTTATAGCTGCAGATTGACTGAATCTAGACTCCATCAATAACTTACCTACCTGTAAGTTCTTATAGCTCAGCTGCAGATAAAGAAGTTGTGATGTTTCTAACATTAACACATTTTATATGGGCCAATTCTGATTGATATTGGCTACATATTTTGCGTTAGATACAATTCTTGGGTTGGATACATTTGATTAATTCCCATTCAAGGGTAAAACTAAGAACATCTAGGAGGTCTATGTATAGAAGAAGCTCTGGTTATAATGATTTTGTCTTAGTTACTCATTTCTCCTAACAAATTTCAATTTCAGGGTATGGGAGTAGGAGTCAACACAGGGCCTGGTACCGGTATGGTTCCTCAACAAGTTCAACAATCAGGTATTTACCTATTGCATTATTTAACTTTTTCTGTCAATTAAAATTTGGAGTTGAATGTACATATTGACATTCACCAAGCAAATTCATGTGTTTTTCTGTGTGAGTAAGGCAGCCCATTCTCCCGCTGAACCCCAAACCACAAATCTTGAAATCATGGCATGCTATCAATAACCAATTCCTTGCCATAAAGTGAGTAGTCTGTTTCCCACTTTATGGTCCCTATTAAAAATTAAGATAAGAATGAATAATTAGGTTGGTAATGATCCTTCCTCAAAGAAAGTGAATTTGAGAAACATTTTGCGAGGTTCTAACAAGTGTAGTAATAGTTTTTTAATAGTAACTGCCATGAATTAACTGAGGAAAGCTTAACTAGTCTTCAGCTTTGTGACGTTGCCATGACACGCATGCTGCTGATGAATTAAGAATACCATTGTGAGTTGAAACTAGTAGAGCAGTACTTAATTCCCGCTGGTAAGCCAAGAAAAATAGTAGCAATAGTGTTTCATTGTTTAAATCATGGTGTTACAGGCATGCAGACAGGTGGCCCAGTGTCAAACAATACAGCACCTCCACCAGCACAGCCACCAGCTGCACAACCGCCACAGAACAAGGAGTTTAACACCGCATCATTGTGCAAGTATGTACCTAAATAGTTGTATTTAGAATACGAATTACAACCACTCAATCGAATTCATATTCCATGATGGTAAGCAATCATCGCTGCTTATGGACACCTGCAACACCATATGAGTAATTACAAAAGCATTGCAAGTTCTAAATTAGTCCACCGGCATTGGTAACCTTACTACACGGCGAAGCACAACGCAATCATTGTTCCATGGTTTTGTGTAGGCCATGGAGGTATCAGTCTGGTCGAGTTGGCTCATTCATGGCTCTCCCACAATTTGCTTATATCACATCATACACATCATCAGCCTGTAAGTGCCTACTGCTGAACAAAGTCCTCTTCTCACATGTCACACTTGCTCATTTCAAACTTATAGGTAATTGGAAATTTATAAGTTTTCATGTCTTGCTCATGTCAGTGGTGTCAAGATAATCATAGAAAGAACATATAACTCGAAAAAAGTACGACACTCGGAAGAGTATTGGGGTTATAGGCTAAAAATTATTCTATTTTGGCAGCCAGAGAATAAAGCTCAGATTATTTCACTGGTTCATGTTAGTGCTTTGTTATGCTGATAATAGAATTCATTATTTCAGATTTGGACAGGAGACGGTACAAGACATTGTGAGCAGAACACAGGATGTTTTCCAGACTTTAAAAGCAATTCAGGTGAGTGTTTAGTAAAATATTTGATGAATCATTCTATTCACACATATGGCTGAAGCAATATCATGGAAATAAAGGCTTTATTGTGTTTCGCAATGTGGTTGAAATTGCCACAGGCCGAATCGCTCACAAAGATTGCCAATCTCATGACAAAATTTGATTTCTGCCCACTTTCTTTGTTCTTCTCCATCACAGCATTTAATTATGTAGAACTTAAACTAATTTTAATAAAATCTGGTTTTTCAGCCACCAAATGGTACACACAGCGGTGAGAATACAAGTAATGAAAAGAAAGCAAAAATGCAGGAACAACTGCGCACGATTCGGCTCTTGTTCAAGAGGCTGCGGCTTATATACGAGAAATGTAATGAGACATGCCAGGTAATTTGTATATTGAGTACTCATAGTTTATTTAATTATGACAATAATATCTAACTAAAATAGATTCTTAAAATTAAAGCTACTCTCGCGCGGTACCCACTTGTCGGCTCTTACAGATCGTAGCGTGATGTTATATAGTCTATAGCCTTCCTCCATAAATGGACTAACGGGCAAAAAGTGAATAGTTGAATTCGAAACCAGTTATTCCGATAATTAGCTTTATTAGTATAGGTTTCAAAATAAGGCTTCTGATATTATGAATGTTACCAATGACTTTATAGATATACATATACAAGACAACTATGGTCTTTCACCATAGTTCAAATATATTAGGAGGTAGACATAGTTTTGGTAATTATTGCTAAACATATTGAATCTTTTTTGTCAGGGAATGGAGTACACTCACATGGAAAGTCTTATACCACTAAAGGACGAAGCGGAGAATAAAGCATTAGATGAAAGACGGAACACTGAATCATACAGACTAGCACTTGAAGAGAACAGGGAGCTCACAGAACAGGTGAGATACATAGTTATTTGAGATTAGTAGAGTATCCACAACTATTTTTGATTGCAGAGTGGTCTCGTATTATCTTTGGATAACTATTTGGGGATTTGGCCATTTTTAATCCCCCTATTGTACTCGTAAAATTTCGTGGAGTCCCGAAAATTAAGGCGCCCGCTTTCTCATGCCTAAAGAGGGGGGGTCGAAACCTGGCAAGCGCCAATGTGACATTTTTTCAAGTCATATGTACTTTCTAAGTTCATTTAAACTAAACAGTTCTCTGGTACTGTGAGTGAATGTGAACTTATAATATAATTTCGAATTTTATTGTAAGTTTGAAATTGCCAATTCGCCTTGAGGAAGTGTGGTGATTAATGTTTAAATCTACTCCGTGTAAGAAGAGGCCTTAGCTCCGCATTGGACACCTTAAAAGCTGATGATGTGATTATACTCATAGTGGTCTCAATGCCCTCAAGGCCCTGTATTATATTTTTGTTATAGTCTATCTTCTCTTAGATTTAATAAAAATGTTTTGTTCACAGGTGGTGTTAAAAAATAAACAATTGAAAGAAGTGATAACAAACTTAAGGACTATTATATGGGAGATCAATGTGATGTTAACAATGCGGCGGTCATAACTTAGTGTTAAGAATAAATAAAATAGGTTAATCAATCCATCTTTTGCGTGTCATTACTTAAAGTGTGAGAGAGCCATGGGCCGGAGTGATACCACGGCCTCACAGAAAACCGGCGTGAAATAACCAAAGAGTTATGTTTCGCCGTGTGATTGAGGTTACCGGAGGCCCAATCCTTCCCCTACTCAATCCGTTCCCTTTTCCCCAGTCTATTATCCCAGTTTAATGCTTGGCCTTTTAATGTAAGTACAATCCATTGCGAAAAATTCTGTGCACATGACGCGTTGTTCACTAGTAGGTATAGGTCCTATGTTCCTTTGCAAAAAGTAGGTACCTAATTCATATTATAAGTTATTTGGAAGTACCTAACTACACGTGAGAACCTGAATATTTTTATTGTAAATATTTTTAGGTGTAAAGCAGTAGCTAGTTTCAATACAATAGTTAGTATATCAAGCAGACTTGAAGATGTAACCTCTATTGTGTAGACTTTAGGAAGAGAGCTGTTTTGTACTTGTATTATGAATATAGGTAATCTATTTAAATATAAGTAAGAACATTTATTAGTATTTTGTGGATCTATTGAAAATCTTTGGACATACTTACTAGTTTAACATTTTGTAGATCACATAAAGTGATGTTCCTTGCGGGATTCTAACTCGTCATCAGCCTTCTAATGTTCCCACTGTTGGGACACAGCCTCCTCTCTACGTAGGAGAGGGTTTGGGCCATAATCCACCACGCGGGCCCAGTGCGGTTTGGTGGATGTCACATGTCTTCGAATTTTTAGTTCTAGGACATGCCGGTTTCCTCACGATGTTTTCCTTCACCGTTTTGAGAGCAGTGGTGATGAAATAAATTACACAAAGTAATGCGCCTGGCTGGGTTCGAACCCGCGACTTACAACTCGTAAGTCACGGCCGTTACCACTCGGCCACCACTGCTCGCTGCTCGATTCTAACTCACTCGTTGCATTATGAGTGCGCAGACCATGCTACTTATATGCCATGTATGGTTTGAAATTCCACATTAAGTTGAAATAAGTAGGTATATCTTCCACACTATTCTAAGTGTGGGAGCCATGTTTCGTTACGAGTGGGTCGACTCGACCGGAGTGATACCACGGCCTCACAGAAAACCGGCGTGAAACAACCACAGTGTTGTGTGTGGTTGCCGGAGGCCGCAAACTACCTCAATCCCTAAATCTCCAAATCCCTAATCCCTAAAAGGTCAGCAACGCACTCTTAACTCCTCTGTTGTTGATTTGTCTACGGGCGGCGTTGATTGCTTACTATCAGGTAATCCGCATGCTCGTTTGCTGACCCATCACATAAAAAAAATATGTATAAAATTGTAGGAACTAGGTAGGAGGGCCTAGTTGTCCCACGAGAAGGTTTTTATTGTAAATAATACTTCGTTGGTATGTGGAAGGTACCTATATGGTATCTGGTTTTGAGGTATGATAAGGCATTTGGTGGTATACGGTAAATATGGTACCTACATGGTTTTGAATATGGTATTGGTAGGTACCTATGTAGTCGTGAGGTGCGGCTACAAAATAAATGCTGGTTTCATCTTAAATTCTATTTGACCTACTTAGTGTGACTACAATAAAACGAACACATTTTAGAAATAAATTATTTACTTCAATAAGAATCGAGAGTACTCTAAATACAAGATGGCGAACAGCTACGATTACACATTGAGTTAAATAAATAACTTCAAATAAATAAAGCTAATGGCAAGCTTTCAGGAAACTGAGTATTCGAAATTGTTGTTTTTAATATTTTAATTATTATAATTAATAACTTAAAAATAAAGACTTATTAAGTACGTTTTTATCTATCTACGCTCGATCGGTTTGGGGATTTCGGAGTCAGTTTTCTTTTTCTTTTCTAGAATTTTCTTTTCGTATGGACGATGGTCGACTATTTCGTCGGCTGGGGCTGCGGGAACCTCGTCTGGTTGGGGCTGGTCTGCCTGTTCTGGTGCCTCAGGAGAAGCCTCGACTTGCTTGCCGACGCTCCTTCCTGATGGCAGTTCATGGAAAGCCTCTGCCAGATCCAGGTTGATTTCTTCAAGAGGGGTGTCGCCAGGCCTGATGTAGACTGGAACGTAGCCTGGCATGGGTGGCAGGACCTGCCATTTGGGACGAGCTTCTGGAAAGATAGACAAGTTAATATTAGTATGACATGATAAACTCATTGACATGTTACTGGACTTCAGTGGATGAATGATGATGACGTCATCAACGCCTTTTCCCCATTATTCACGTGTATAGGATCGTTGGGTTGAAATATGACTATAAAGTTGCGATAAAGTCTAGCAGAAATCAGTTAATTGGCCAGTTTTCGGAATGTGCTCCCCTTATCGTTTGGTACACCGTAATAACCTACTTCCTGAGGCTTGTGACCTCAAGGCCAGCGCAGTTTGATAGCAGAACATTTTTTATCGTTTGCAATTTTCAAAAGTGGGACATACAATGCAGTAGATTGAGAACTGTTCCTTTTTTAACACGTTCTAGGTACAATGGGCGGTTGTATTTTTATACCAAAGAAGAAGAGAAAAGACGATAAAAGTACGGCTCTCACGCACGTAGGTAGTTTTTGAGTCAAGTCAACAACCTACCAAATGAATGATCAAAGTAGATATCTTTGCAAAAAAAAGACGCCATTTATTAATGTTGGTTGTGCATGCAAACGCGGCCCGGTTTTGAGCTAGAGAAGGAACGGGTTGTTACCTAAGTAAAATAGGTATCTACTTCCCCTCGGGGAGAAGTCATTAGTAGATAAGATGATCCTCTTCTGGTTAGTTTTATTACTTCACTCTGTCAGGCTGTTCGTCAGTGAAGCTAGGTGCTCGTTCCAAATAGGTTCGAATGGAGAAGAACGAGCAAGACACTCCACCCGTCTTCCATTTTATACAAACATTCCGACGCAACAGCATCAAAATAATTCCCTATGTAACTTTTATCTAGCAATTGAAAAACCAGCCCGAGAACACAATGTTTGAATGTCTGTGCCATTAGTACAAGCTACTTATACCTTTGGTATACAGTGCGCAGTTTTTTCGCACGTGCTAATCTTCTAACATATTTTTATGTCGCATGATATTACACAATATTCACCTAAAGATAATTATATTCGCACTATGTAGGTAGGTAGGTATTATAATACCTCCTTAGCATAGATTTGAACAATACTTTGTCAAGGTAAGTACATTGACCTCTAGTTGAAAATATTGTATGTAATTAGCGAAAAATCTTGATTTATGTTTGATTTCAAGGCTTGTAAATATCACTTATTGTTGACATTAATACCCATATACCTACCTATTGCTGATTCTTATGTAAATGTACCTTTTTATAGTGTTTACCTACCTATATAAAAAATACAACATCCTACTTACAAACTATTAAAGCTGTATCATTTTTCATGATTCATAAATCGTGCTAAGCATATAAATTCTATTCAATTTAACAACGATAGATAAATAGCTAACAATGCTAACACACAAGTGAATTGTAATAAGTACCTACCTACCTACCTAAGTGTGGAGAATACATATAAAAACTAATAGGTTGTTTTTATGGGGCATGCGAAATATGATCACTAAGTACCTACATAGATTATTTCTTGTTTTCAAATCTAAAAGGCTGTGTACAAAAACAACTGTCGAAGACAAAACATCACGCTTATAACAGTCTGGCTGTGTACTGCAATTTTACCTGGGTATTTAATAAATAATGGTCAGCGGGTACCTATAGTAGTTTCGGAGCTTATTCAATCCAAAGTAACAAACAATTAACTTTTTCTTATAAAACATAAGTATTGAAGTATTGTTATGATTGATTACGGCATAAGCTTTAGCTCTATCTCAATTACAAATTCAAACTAATATTTAAAATGCGAAGTAACTCTGTCTGTCTATTCTTCACGCCTAAACTACTGAAGCGATTTCTGTGTGGTACCGACATAGTTTGGAAGTCGAGAAAGGACATGATTTAGTTTTTAGACGATAGTTTTTATACCAAAAATCTGCAGGAAGTGCTATTCCACGCGAAGGCAGTCGCGGGCAAAAGCTAGTGAAGTATATTTTTTAAATTGATTATGTAGGCGTATATTTTTTTAATTGTCTGGCGAAGACGATGAAACTGCCTTAACCCACTTGATTGTAAAAACGGTAACTTAATAGGCCATTTTATTTAAGTTGCAACCAAGTACTTGGCGGGAGATGGCGCGATGCACCGTACACGACATGATCGCATGCATCCGTGCATCGTAAATTTGCTAATACCTATAGATAATGGCTAGGCCGGGGCCTGTTTAGGTCACTTTCCTTGTTGCTGCGGTCGTTCAACCTGACTATTAAATGCAGATAATACAAGATTCCGATACACGGCCATTCGACGCGAAGTTTTGTTGAGAGATCAAGTCGTACCTACCTATAGGTAGGTACTATTTACATCTTATTGACACGAACACAATTTTGTTTTTTTTTATTTGAATTGGATTTTTGTTTCTGTTATTGGTGAGGTACTTATTGCTTTGAATTGAGAATATACTAAACAATTGAATTCTACATAGGTAATCTAGCTACGTTAAGTAAACATTGTTTTGAGAGGGAGTGCCAGTAAATGACTTTCTTCGCCCGGGGTGAGGTTAGAGGGAGCCTAAGCCTCTTGCCGAAAAAAAAACCACCCCGAGAAGGAATTCCGGCCGGGGAAATCGTATGCTGCGCCGGGCTGGGGAAATACAAAAATAAACCACGCCCGATGTTGCTTAAATTCCGTGATCAGCACCTTCAGGACCAGAGTTTTCAATGGCCGTATGGACATTAGCATGTATATGATACCCCAGCGTGGCTTGAAACTGATCGAGCTCGTCTTGTAACAGTTATAGGACACATATTAATTAATTATGATTAAATAATTCGTAAAACTTAATAATTACTTATTTTCATAAGTCTTACGAGAATTAACAATACGAAAATAGCTGAATCTAGCCAACATCTAGCTTCGTAACAGAAGTGGGTACCAAGATCATACCCAAGTTAAACATGTAGATAAGTAGGTGTTTAATCTAAGTTTAACCGGAAAATGTCACTTAGAATCACCTTCTCGAGCAAAGAGGTCACGAATAGTCACGATTCAGTCTCTAGACCGATTGACGTAGACACAAATGACCCTCTTAGAATTGAGAGATGACGTTGGGTCACGTTCCTTCAATCTGGGAGTCGATTAGACAATTGGTGCAATTCAGTGCAATATTTTTGGCATAGCGCGAAACGTGATCAGAGAGGGGCAGATAAAGCCATCAATAAAGAGTGTTATTTATTTCATAAAGGTTCTCTGTCTCTTCAGTTCCAATTTTTTCATCACAACAGAGTGGTTTCTTGTTTGGCTTAACTAGGTACTTAGGTATTGTTTTTTAAGCAGATGATGTAAGTTCTTTCTAGTTTTTAAAGCAGATAATTATTGTCCGACATGATCATGTGTCAACACACACAGACACGAGTTCAGTGCGGGTCTAAGGGGTTCGAAGTTATTTTTTGCCAAGACCTCTTATTCTCTGACCGTGACTATCTTCTTGTTCTAATTACAAAAGAAATGTTGTACAACATCAAGAAGCTTTTACCTTCTAAAACCTACAATCTAATGCTCTAAGATCTCCGAAAAAAAAAGAGACAGATTAACTTCTTGTACAGTTCGCAATTAAAGTCCATTGTTATTCTATTGCGTTTGATGTGTAAGTAGCTTTACGACGAACCTACCTATATATAGTTATGTATTATTGGTATAATGAATGAATTGAAAACTTTGGTCAAGGAGAGGTCGAGGTTTTAATCCATCCATTTGTTAAAATTCAATGCTTAATGTCAAATCTTTATTAAGGTAATTGGTGCTCTTCTTCTAGCCATCAGTTCAAACTAAACTTTCAAGTGTGGTTATTCGAGACAGAATAGAAGAACAAGAACGCCGGCGTTCGTTTGTTGTTGTTGTTAAGTTTTGAAAACATCACAAATATACTTTTGCATTATAGCATACATTTTGAATAGGGTAGGCACGATTCATTTACCGAATGAATTAAAGTACAAACACAAGTAGCCTGATATACCTAATATTTATAACTTACAGCGAGACTGCATAATAATATTTAGTCGCTATTTTTAAATAAGTATTAACGTTTAGTTTAATATTTTTTTAATATCATCTGCTTCAATCAATCTATCTAATATACAAAACCATATCAAAATCCGTTGCGTAGTTTTAAAGATTTGAGCATAGGTACATAGGAATATTGGGACATAAGAAGCGATTTTGTTTTATACTACGTATGTATAAGTAAGCTCTGTAACATAAAGTGGCTTTAAAAATGTACGACTTCAAATAGTATTGTGTGGTTTTCGTTGAGCACTTAAGTGTTAAGTATTTGTGAACACAACGGTGCATGCTGGAACGGAGTCAAGTGCGTTTTGCGGTGGACACAACTTGAACATGAAATGAAGACTATCTAAATAACTGTCGTACCTGGGTGATTCTCCAAAAAACCTTAACTTTTATTTAACAAGTCATTATCCTCCCAGGTTTTTAAGCATCTTAGTAATTTATTTTATACAATATTTTTAATCGGTTGCTTGTAAGCAGTGGTGAGATTTAATTTAATAAAATAATTATCTGTGTTTTAATCAGCAGACTCGTTAATTTTCGGTTGAGGATAATGACATTATTAAATTTTTTTTTAATTGATGTGATGAATCACCTACCTACTCATATTATCAACGTAAAAGTTTGTCAATGTGGATTGATAGATACTTATTTGTTGCTCTTTTATGTACCTAGAGATTTGAATGATTTTGAATTATGTCTCAAACAAAGCGGCCTAAGTCGCTGGCTATAAATAAAAATTAGAAGTCTGGTTTTACTGACTGTCCGCAGAAGTCCATAGATGGACGGGAATTTTCATGGGAAATATAATATATTGGGCTGATTCAAGTAGATATCTATTATTATCTAAGCATAAATATTTTTACATCCTTCATGTGCTTGACTCTACATGCGATTAACCAGGGAAATGTAAGTAAAAAAGTTGTCCTAATTAGCCTTATTTATGAATTAACAAAGATAAGATCCACAGATTGTTGTTCCGGGTCTGGGTGC